GTGAGAATTTAATTTATATTAGGTAGAAAGTAAAATTAAGATTACAGAGAAACAAGAGCACCGAAACCAGTCTAAAATATGACGCAGGAGAAAACAGCACAGACGGGTCAGGTGAGAGCACTGCAGGAAGGCTGCTGCGCCGCCGTAACTGGCTGCCCAAAAATTTGCCGGAGGAGAAAAACCCAGGGCCTGACTGGTGAGCAGATGTTCGTGGAATGAGTAGAGCAAAGCCTGAAATAGTGTTAAACTTCTACAAGCACACAAGAAAGAAAAGCAGCAGAATAAAAACCAGTTCTAGTGATGTCCGTGGGAGGATTCACTGAGGAATGATCTCAGAAATAAGAGCTTTTACTCCTCAATTCACAGAGGACTTAAAAGGAGGGGAGGACCCTAGGTTTGGTTACTATTAAGCAGGAAAAGAACCCCCAAACCCCCAAAGACCAACCAGACCCACCTCCAACGTGGTTTTTTGCAGTTACTAGAGACAGGCAACTGAAAACAGGCAAACATGGAGTATCAAATACAAAAATAAATGAATTACTAAAAATCACACTACATTTGAGAACAATTAAGACCATGAGAGTGACTAAGAAAACCCTGAAGAAAGCAAAGAAAATAATGACATAAAACTTCATTACTAAAAAATTGCCCCTTCCCTGGTAGGTTATTTTATGTAGTCCCTTAACTCTCTTAAATAAATGATTTGATATCTTAGAAACATAAAAATATTGTCAAAATAAATAATAAAATAGAGATTCTAATTACTGTGCTGGAAAACTGATGCAAGATTTTATCCCAGGGTGTACTATAAAAAGGCAAAGAAGTTTTTTTAAACACAACATGATTGTATTTTAATACACAACCCAAATATAAAACACCATAAATGAAATGATGGCAATAAAATATGGTATTTATTTGTAAATGATTAACATCCTCAGTCATAAAAGAGTTGTTAGAACCAGTTACAAAGATACTGATATTCCAAGGGAAATGGGGGGGGGGAGGCAAAGAAGTTAACAGTATAGAGAGAAAATTTTTGATATGTGGAGAATAAATCTAGGAATTCCAACATATAACAAAAAGTGAGTTCTAGAAGAGAACAGAGATAAAGAGAAAACCATAAAAATACACAGAAAGAAACGTGAAAACAGATTGCCTGAGAAAAGGACTAAAAATTGAACTGGCATCAGCTTTCTCAACTGGATACTAAAACACATTAGAACGTTACCTTCACAGTTGTAATGGAAACTTGATTCTACACCAAGAATCCTATATCCATTTAAACTGGCATTCAAGAGCAAAAATGGAAAAACAGGATAGAAATTTTACCATGTATAGCCAGTTTCTGAAAGAGAAATTGGGGACTCCCAACAAACCCAAAAGGAATCTAAAAGGAAGATATGATGTATAAAATATAGTGAGGAAAGGAATCAGCAAAATTTAAGGATGAATAATTTTTTATATATAATGTAAAATAAGGTATTCTGGAGTAAAAATGCTAGTGATTTATTTCTATATGGGAAGGAGTGGCAGGGAAGGGGTGCATGTGACAGCAAGTGAGTGAGCACATACGTGTGGGGCTAATGCACTTTAGGAGGACGGAGACAGAGTAACTCACTCTAGAGTTGAGCTGTCCAGTAACCACCAATCACTGTGATCACTAAAATTAAACAGAATTAAAAGTTCAGCTCCTGTGTCACACAAGCAACATTTCAGGTGCTCACTACAGCACAGATACGGAGCTTTCAGCGCTGCAGGAAGTTATACGGAACCGCATTGCTGTGTTAAGAAAAATGTTTTTAAATGGTCATTACAGTTTTAACGGTAACTATTAGAAGAACAGACATAAATGATAATTTTCAAAGGATATTAGAAGGAAAAAAAGTACATAAAGAAAGCCAAGTGCTCCAATATAAAGTTAAAAGAAAGAAGATAAAACAACAGTGCAATTAAAATAAAAAGATGAAATAAGGCTATAGGACTATGTCTAAACATATGGTAATCACAGATATAAATGGCTTAAATTCACCTATTAAAAGATAAAAACTCTTGGATTAGAAAACAAAGACAAAATCTGACATAAGAGACATAGCTAAAACAAAAGGACCCAGAAAGATCGCCAGCTGACTATTGCTTTCACAACAAAAAAATGCATATACCTTTTAATTTAGTAATTTCATTCCTAGATATCTCTTCCAGAAGACTCTGAAAATGATTTCTATATTTTATCAATAGAAAACCAGTTGAATCAATTACAGTTAATCTATATAAGAGACAAGTATGCAATTTTTAATGCATATTAAAATCATATTCAGTGTGGATTGATATGAGACGACCTCTGACCTACTAAATAATAATATTTAAAAAAAGGCTACAGAATGGTAACATGCCACTATTTGTGTAAAGAAGGGAAAAGTATGTTTACCTATGTTTGCATAGGTACAGAATGTAACATTTCCTATGATACATAAAATGGAAGAATATATACACAGTAAGAGTGTATCTCTGGGAAGAGTAAATGGAAAGCTAGGGGAAGAGGTGAAGAAAACCATTTTATTTGTATATTTTTCTGATAGTTGAATTTTATATTGTATGCATGCATTGTCTATTTAAAAAAATAAAGTTACAAAAAGCAGGTGGGGAAATATTTAATAGCAGACAAAATAGAATTCAATATGAAAAGCATTATGAGACAAAGGCAGTTTTCAAGAATTGATAAAAGAACATTCCACTATAAATCATGAATCTATGCATCTAACAATAGCTTCAAAATATAAAAAACAAGTACTCTGAGAATTTTAAAGAGAAACTAAGAAATCACAATTACAGAGAGAGGCTTGAACATACCTCTAGAAAGTGGTAAATCAAGTAGACAAGAGTAACAACACATACTGGGCACTTTTTATGTAAGTGGCACTGAACTATGCTTTTTCATGCATTATCTAAGGCTATACAAAATGTTAATAGTGAGTTGACAAGTCATATACATATATCATATACATGTACCATAAATACCTCTGTACCTGATAAACACAGAATAGACATTTTTTTCAGACATTTATTAAATACCACACATTAGACACCTGCCCCAAATAACCACCACTACTGCTGAAGTCAACATGACTGGCAAGACTATAATGAATGAATGTTATCACTGACTTGGTAACTGCTTACATGAAGACAAATCTGGCATTATGTATCAAGTATCCATACTCCTTGATACAGTAATTGTCTTTCTGATATTTGTGTCATAAATAAATAATGCAAATATGGGGGAAGCATACTAGAAACTCAAATGTCAAAATGAAAGGTAATGGTTAAGTATGGTATAACCATTCAACTGGATGATTCTTCCATTAAAATGACATTTAATAACAGAAGATGTTTGAAATGTTAAAGGAAAAAAACAAGAAAAATATAACATTAAATTATGTCTGTTTTATATAGCTATAAAATTTACCTCAATCTTCTTTCATGGACATATATTACTTTTATGGGTAAAAAAAAAGAGGGTGCAATCTTTTTCACTTTAGACAGTATTTTGCTTTGCATCCCTTTTTGCAATTTTCTGTTCATAACTAGCATCTCCTGAAGTTACACCAACCTACACATTATTCTACAAAAAAGAACAGAGAGACCCCAATTCAACAGAAGTCCTTGGAGTCCATGGCCAGGATGGCTGCTTTTCTGCCAGTTAAATGTAGCATAAAGGGATCTATTTAGGCACATTAAATATCCATTAAATTACATACAGACATTTAGTGGAGTCAAATTTGACATCCAAATCAGCTGTGGCCAAAATGGAGCAGAAAACTGCACTCTGCAGGACTCCCAGACAAGGTGAAACTCTGTATCCGTAGTTGCTATTAGTAGCTAAATAAACTATTCCCTTCAGTCTCTCAGTCATGTCTGAGTCTTTGCTACCCCATGGACTATGCTTCCCTACTTAGTCATACTTAAAATTTAGTAGTTATTTTAAGGGACAAAATTGAAGCAAGTTTTTTTGGGAAATAATTCTTGATACTCTGAGAATCAAACATTTATGTTAATATTCTTTTTTTTTTTTTTTAAATAGGTCCAAAAGACTCAGCCCAGATCAGCACTGAAGTTATATCAAGAATTAAGCCTGCTTCATGCCAATGAGCTGCTCCTCAGCAGGGGGTGGTTTTGCTACTTGAGGAATGACAACCACTCTATCATGTACACAAGAGAGCTGGATGGGATAAACAGAGTCTTCCTCATGGTTCTGAATTTTGGAGAATCATCACTGCTAAATCTAAAGGAAATGATTTCAAATATTCCCACAAGAGTGAGGATAAGGTTAAGTACCAATTCTGCCTACAGTGGCCATGAAGTTGACACGCATGCTGTTACACTGGCCAGTGGAGAAGGACTCATCCTTGAATACAACACTAGGAATCTCCTTCATCGTCAAACAGCTTTCAAAGATAGATGTTTTATTTCCAACAAGGCATGCTATTCCAGGGTATTAAACATACTGTACAGCTTGTGTTAGGCACCTCTATGAAAGAGATAGAGGCACTGGCATTCTGTTCTAGTCTAAACATTTGCAGTAACTTCACATATAGCAGCATGCTGCTGGGTAAACTTTATGAGTGGTCATTAATTCTTTTGGGGTTTTTTTGGCTGCACCATATGGCATGTAGGATCTTAGTTCCCTGGCCAGGGGTCAAACCTGTGCCCCCTGCATTGGGAGCATGGAGTCTTAACCACTGGACTTCCAGGGAAGTCCTGAATGGTCATTAATTCTGAGATATTTCTGTAACTTGAGTGAAACTGCTTTAGGGAAGGTTCTTAAATTGTTTTTCAAGAATAATAAAATGTTTAAAAGAAAATGATCAATTGCTACCCCATGGACTATGCTTCCCTACTTAGTCATACTTAAAATTTAGTAGTTATTTTAAGGGACAAAATTGAAGCAAGTTTTTTTGGGAAATAATTCTTGATACTCTGAGAATCAAACATTTATGTTAATATTCTTTTTTTTTTTTTTTAAATAGGTCCAAAAGACTCAGCCCAGATCAGCACTGAAGTTATATCAAGAATTAAGCCTGCTTCATGCCAGTGAGCTGCTCCTCAGCAGGGGGTGGTTTTGCTACTTGAGGAATGACAACCACTCTATCATGTACACAAGAGAGCTGGATGGGATAAACAGAGTCTTCCTCATGGTTCTGAATTTTGGAGAATCATCACTGCTAAATCTAAAGGAAATGATTTCAAATATTCCCACAAGAGTGAGGATAAGGTTAAGTACCAATTCTGCCTACAGTGGCCATGAAGTTGACACGCATGCTGTTACACTGGCCAGTGGAGAAGGACTCATCCTTGAATACAACACTAGGAATCTCCTTCATCGTCAAACAGCTTTCAAAGATAGATGTTTTATTTCCAACAAGGCATGCTATTCCAGGGTATTAAACATACTGTACAGCTTGTGTTAGGCACCTCTATGAAAGAGATAGAGGCACTGGCATTCTGTTCTAGTCTAAACATTTGCAGTAACTTCACATATAGCAGCATGCTGCTGGGTAAACTTTATGAGTGGTCATTAATTCTTTTGGGGTTTTTTTGGCTGCACCATATGGCATGTAGGATCTTAGTTCCCTGGCCAGGGGTCAAACCTGTGCCCCCTGCATTGGGAGCATGGAGTCTTAACCACTGGACTTCCAGGGAAGTCCCGAATGGTCATTAATTCTGAGATATTTCTGTAACTTGAGTGAAACTGCTTTAGGGAAGGTTCTTAAATTGTTTTTCAAGAATAATAAAATGTTTAAAAGAAAATGATCACTTGCAGGATCTTATAACTTTTTGAAATAGCATCAATAAGAGATGATCAGAGCACCTAGGACTCCAGATGATTAGAAAGATCTAATGAATTTTAATGGGAAGTACGTTACATTCTTCCAGAAAATGCAGGTATAGAAATTGGAGGATGACTTAATTGCCAGAGTGCCTAAAATTTTTCACTAGCAGAAATAGGACCTTGATGTGTAAACTGTTCAAAGAAAATCACAGTAAAACTAAGCTGTTCTGAAGGAGAAAGGGGAGACTTCTGCTGTCAGCAGTCCTTCCCCCACTGCCTTCTCTATGTGCTTCTACGCAGCATGGTTTGAAAGTTACTTTCCTGGGTTAAGGGCCATGTGCCTCAGTGGAGACACTGGTATAAGCAAGTGAGCTGTTTATGAAATCAAATTTGGATGGGGAATAAACTTTTTAAAAAATTATTTACTAACTTAAAAAACTCACTTTTGTGAACATAATTGGAAATATGACTATGAAAGACTTCAGTGTGTTTCCAGTTCCCAATGAACGCAGCATTTCAGAATTTTAGATATTTCTTAAGATTATCGAAAACACTGGTGCTGTCAAGTCCAAGTTCCTCATACAGGAATTTAATTTGGGCTGTAATCTAAAAGAAACACGTTAAAAAAAAATTAGAAGGCCTTTGTGGTAAAACTCCAGTATTCCAAGTCTCTCCTTGTCTATCCATCTTCACACAACTATGAAATCAGCAATTTATGGCAAGAGAATTTTTTTATTTGGCACAGAGGTGGAAGCTCCCAATGACAGATTCCATTCCTTTCTCTGACAGAGCTCATTCATCAGGAACCTTTCCTCTTTACTAACTCAGCATTTGTCCTCTTCCAAGTCTAAGCCACAGACCCAGCAGCTGGTGAAGTAGCCTGCACAACCCTGTGTAACCACAGTACATCACTACTTGGGGATCTACCACCTTAGAGGGGCTTGACAACATACCTTTTTGTGAGAATCCTCAATCACATGGTTGCCTCCAGGCTGAATATCTAAAATAATATTGGGGACTTGATAGCCTGAAAGAGTTAACATATGAAACAATTAGAAGGGTTTTGGCTAATTGAGACCCACCCCTTTCACCCCTCTCCTTTTCAAGGACTCTATTAAAATAATAGTGAAACTTTTGCTACCGCTAAGTCGCTTCAGTTGTGTCCGACTCTGCAACCCAATAGACGGCAGCCCACCAGGCTCCTCTGTCCTTGGGATTCTCCAGGCAAGAATACTGGAGTGGGTTGCCATTTCCTCCTCCAATGCAGGCATGCTAAGTCACTTCAGTTGTGTCCGACTCTGTGCGACCCTGTGGACAGCAGCCCACTAGGCTCCTCTGTCCATGGGATTCTCTAGGCCAGAATACTGGAGTGGGCTGCCACTTCCTTCTCCATAACAGTGAAGAAGAAAGGCATAAACCATCACCACCACCACTATCAAGAAGAGGTGGGGGGTGGGATGGGGTGGGGAGCAGTAGAAAACAAATTTCTGAAACAGGAAATGTAGGAGGAGGCCCAGACAAAGGAAGGTGGATGGAAAGATCATAGGGCCACATGGAGAAGGTTGTGACCTAGGAAGAAGCTAATGGGTCCTATGGAATCTGAGAGCCCTGTGACTTAGAAACACCAGCTATAGCAATGGGTGCAAGTGAGATGTGGAATTGAATAGAAGGCAACTGTGTGAAAACTTATATGTGAGCTCTTTCCACCCCGAGCCCAGACGCTCCCATGTCTTGACAAGGAAGAAAAGGTAAGAGTTCTTTAATACAATTGAAAGATCTAGAGAAAATTAGAGCTGGTATTTTTGGGCATGGAAGCTCCAGAGCAAAAACTTAAAAGAACCCCAAGAATAATAGCTCAATTAATTTTGTTAAATGAATGAATGGTGTGATAATAGTATGATACTATACCTCCAAGTTATGTTTGATAAATTTAACTTTTTTCTTTGTGCCTTGCCTACCTTTTTAATGCTGTCCTTTGAAAAAGAGGCAAGGCAACTATAGTCATTACGTTTGCTTCTGCTGGGTAGTCAACACAGGGCAAACAGTGATTTGCCTATGATTCTGGGTGACTCATTTGGTCTGCAGCGTGAGATGTACTACACTGAGCGGTACTGACGGTGACGGTCCCCCGCTCCCGGGTGGGTGCCTACCTTCCCTGGTGTCCTTAGCATGCTCTGCGACGGCTTCCTTGAGTTTCTCCGTATAGTTTACGATTCCTTTCAGAGGTACACGCTCGTCATTTTCATAAGCTGTGATGTGAATTGAAGGATAATGCTGAAAGGGAAGAGATGTACAAAGAATCCCTTTTGATCTCATTCCTTATGGATTATGAAAAACAATTACCTTATGGATTATGAAAAACAACTATCTCTATTTTTTTCCCCTAAGTGATAAGACTTTTTTTTTCTCCTCATTTGATATTTTTGAGATTTACAGCATCCCGATACTAGACTATTTGTTACCTGGAATAACCTTTTCTTGACTAGTGAGACCCTGATCTTACCGAATCTAGTCTCCTGAGCTATTAAGTTGAAACAAGCAAGAAGTATGAGCAAGAAGGGGCTGAGAGGTGTCTGAGTACTCTAAGGAGACACAGCATTAAGACTTTACTAAATTCCTGCTTCACCTCGGGTAAACATCCTTCTAATGATTTTCTCTGTCACTTCAGGATAGTATCACAACTGCCTTTCACTACCTGAGGTTTAATATTTTGATAGGGACAGTAACGTTTTATGTAGTTCTTGTGTTTTTCATCAGATGAAGGATTCCCCCATTCTTCTAATTCTTCTAATGTCAGAGGAAGTGTAGTGTCCATCATGGTGTTGAGAACATCCAAGAAAGGTGCCTTAAAAAAAAGTCAGATGTAAACTTCAATTAATAAATTGGTAAAATGAGTTTCAGATAACACTATACTTTATGAATATACATGCTGACATGAGAGAACAGAGCTCAAGCAGCCATGTACATTCCCAGGAGCCAGATTAATTACCCAGTCCTTAACCAGGGCCTGAGATTTGTAACTGGCTTTTAAGGTATTCAGACTCTTTGAATGACAAAAGGTTTATCTTCCAATTTGTTTTTAGTTTTCTTTTTCTCATGTAAGTGCTGCCATCTTACATCCACTAGGCTCTATTAAGAAAAGTGTTGGCAAGGACATGGAAAAATGGGAACACTTGTGCATTGTTAGTGGGGATGTAAAATGGTGCAGACAGTATACTGGTTTCTCAAAAAATTAAACTCAGAATTGCCACATGATCCAGCAATTCTATTCCAAGGTGTGTATCCAAAGGAAACTAAACCAGGGTCTTGAGGAGTACACCCCTGTTCACAGCGGTACTGGAAATAACCCGACGGTCCACTGATAGATGGATGGATAAGCAAAATATAAATGCAGTGATACAGTGAAATTCACCCTTAGAAAGAAAGACACTTGCTGCAACACAATGGGCCTTGGGGAAATTATCTAAGTAAAAATAAACCACTTGTAAAGAGACATGTATTGTATGATTCCATTTATACAGGAGGTACCTTAGCGTAGTCAAATTCAAAGAAAACTAGAATGGCGATTACCAGAGCCTAGGGGAGGAGGGGTAGTGGGAGAGTTGCTACTTAACGGGTACAGTGTTTCAGGTTTGCAAGATTAGTTACAGAAACTGACTGTACAACAATGTGAATGTACTTAACACTACTGAACTGTACACACTTAGAAATGGTTATGATGATAAATTTTATGCTATATTACCACAATTAAAAATAAAACTCCCAGAATACATGAATAAACTCAGTTGGACACTTTACATTATAAAAAGGTAATAAATGCTAACTGAAGAAAATCTGAAAACTATCCAAGTTGAAAAATAAAATCACTCATTGGCTTATAGCAAGTGTTAAAAGAAATGGCAGCTGCTTTGTTCATGAAGCCATTATAATCTTCTGATAACCTGTTTTTCAGCTTTGTTTTCTATTAACATTAAGCAAGAACATTGGGCAAATGCAATTCTTTTTGTCTGCCTACTATCTTTGATTTAGCTTCTTTTTTGCATTTAGAGTATCCCTCACCTTTTGACACTGGTTGCCTCTTAGGTGCTAAATGCCAGATAGGTCCTGTCCCATCTTTGCCTCAGAGTGAAAGTAGCCACATAATTTAGTTTTACCCATCAGACATAATATGCCCCAAATTCTGAATGAACTGTTGGATATTTAGGTTAACTCCAGATCTTCACTGTTACAAGCAATGTGGGGTAAATATCCTTATACACACATTTCTGATGATTTCCTTTCTGACTTCTAAAGTCAAAGTAATTTCTCAAAGTCAAAAGTTAGTCACATTTCCTTTATAATTCTGCCATTATTATCTTTTTGCATGGAGTTTTTTCCCTTCTATACTTAATATTTCTATTAAAAACAGATTTACAGGGTAAGATTATTTAATACTTATTTACTTCATACAAGCCTATAGTATACCCCACACCCTCAAAATTAAAAGAAAAAAAACCCTGAAAATCATTTTACTCTATCATAATTATCTTCTAGAGTTATCTACTGCAGAAGAACAAAATTTGCCACCCCCAGATTATTTTAAGCTGAAAATAATCAAGGTCAAAAAAGTCTCAGAAAGAAACTTTGACCTCTTCTATAACTGCCTGAAGAATTTAGACAGAGGGCTTATTACAGGAATATCACCAGATAATAAATATGGATGACCTGTGCTGGGGAAACGCTTAGAGACCAGCCCGTCCACTCTGTGTTCCCTGGTCTCTGCTAACAAACATTTGTTTACCAGACTTTCACTTTTCCATCTCCACGTGAATTGCCTTCTGTCTCCTGAAGAAACAAATCAGTACCTCTAACATCCTTTTTCACCTTTAGCTGAAGACAGTATTAAGGTGAGAGCTCTGGTCATTGTGGTGAGTCACTCAGTTTTCCTGGGCCTCTCACATGTAGACATGTCACTAAACTTTTGTTTCATTTTCTTCTGTTAATCCTCCTTATGTCAATTTAATTCTTAGACCAGCCAGAAGAACCTAGAAGGGAACAGGAAAATGTCCTCTGCCCCTACACTAACCAGGAAGCAGGAGAATGGTGGAGGTGAATGAGCTGCTGTAATTTCATAATTTTGGACACCAGCAAGACTATATAGAGCCTTCCCAGAACAGGTCAAGGTGTTTCAACTGAAGTACAGAAAAACTACTCCTAGAGACCATTAATAAGAATGGAGTATCTGAAAATAGAGAGGCCCTAAATCCAGGACTGAAATGTTGATGCCAACAGAGCCCAAGGATTTCATACATCCCAGAGTCAGTGTGCTGGGCCTGACCTCCTAGATATTCCTGGATCTGGTGTGTCATATATGCTTGGCTGCTCTTCCACCATCCAAAATGCTCTTACAGATATAAAATGATCAATGAGAATAGCCCAGTGGAAATTCTTAAAAATCAATAAAGAATACTGTCAGGAAGTTCTCCCATAGCTACAATTCTCTGTTTAAAATTTAAAAGCTCTGCTATACTTCTATGCAATGGTAAAACCGGAATACGAAATTTTTCTTAGAGCATCTATTACTTCATGCCTCCCTGTTCAGTAAACAGTAGAGATAGAGTACTCACCTCCAAAGTCACAGCTCTCAGCAGTTCTGGACTAGAATTACACAATGCTCCCACAAGCACCCCTCCAGCACTGAAAGCAGTCAGGGCTGTTAGACTTGGCTGAGAAAAGCCTTGGTCATGAAGCGTCTTAATGCAAGCCTCTAAGTCAGCAAGGCCATTGAGTTTTTTAGTTAGCCGGCCATCAGCGTGCCACTGGAGGCCTAACTCACCACCTCCCCTGAAATTAAAGGGCAAAAAAGTTTTAGTGGGGAAGAAATATTAATGATATAGGTCAGGGTCAGCAAACTATAGCCTGTGGGCTAAATTTGCCCAGAGACCTGTTTTTATATGGCCCTTGAGCTAAGAAGGATTTTTATATTTTTAAAGGTTGGGGAAAAAAACAAATATCAACCAGGAATATGCAGTGGAGACCATATGTGGCCTGCAAAACTTAAAATGTTTACTATTTAGTTCTTCAGAGAAAAAGTTTGCCAACCCCTGATGTAGACAATCAAAATATTCAACAAATATGCTTTGAGTGCCTGCTTGCTATTTACTAGGCATTGTGCTAAATGCAGGCCTTAAAAATACAAACAAGTAGAAATCCTCTGTCTTGGAGGTCATAATTTTTCAGGGAAAAACAGCTACCAAGCAACACAGTTACTGCTATAACAGAAACAGAACCAGAGCAGAGACTATCCACCTGTCTATATATGTGAGTCAGGAACATGAGTGCTTTAAGGAGATGACACCTAAGCTGAGTCTTGAAGGAAGAATGTGAGTTCCCAGAAGAGCAAAGAAAGGGATGACATCATCAACTCAATGGACATGAGTTTGAGCAAACTCTGGGAGACAGTGAAGGACAGGGAAGCCTGGCGTGCTGCAGTCCATCGGGTCACAAAGAGGCGGACACGATGGAGAAACTGAACAACAACAAAAAGAAAGGGAAGGCATCAAGACACAGCATGTGGGAGGTCACAGAGGTTGTCATTTCAAATGATGTAGCAAAGGCTGCATGTGTAGGATGTACATGGCTGCAGAAGAGGGCGTATTTGGGGAATGCTGACAGACGCCACTATGAAGATAAGCCACATCATTAGGATGTTAATATGGAGGATTTGGATTTTATTGTGGAGATGGGTAAGTGGTAAAGAATTTAAACAGAAACAAAATACTATTTGTGTCTTGGAATCAGCAAAATAATATGGAAATTAGAGTACAAAAAAGGGAGTCCAGCTTAAGAAGCTATTTTAGAAAAATCCAAACTCAGGAGAATGAAATGGAAACACTAATGTAGTTAAGTACAGACATTGGTCTATCTATTCTAAAAATTCAAAAAATCTGGTGTAAAATCCTAAAAAGATACCCTTTCGCTTCTGGGATTGATTAATCCCAGACCCAGTGTTCTGCTAGTGAACCAGGTTCTACTAGCACAGGTTTAGGAGCACAAATGAGCAAATCAACGTTCGCTCCCCAGCATCTCGTTATTCCGGACAGGTGATGATGCTCCAGCCCTCACATGCCACACAAAACATGACTCACCGAACATGACAATATGCTAATATCCAGCCATCGTCCACCAACACCCGCCTTTCAGGCCTGAAATTCATTTTCAAATCCATTCCATAAGCTCCATATACTTGTACCAGGAGAGGTTTCTTCTGTAAGTCCTCAGAATCCGTTTTATGGAAAACAGTCATTGGCACTAATTTTCCATCCTGGAAAGGAAGATGTATTATGCAGGTAAAGAAGTCTTTTGAAACAGTTTTATCCCCAATTTTATTTGTTGCTTATTGATGTTGAGCAGCAACTTCATTTAATTAAGACAAAAGAGTTACGGTCTCTAAATGTCCATCAGGGTCCTTAATTTTCAGCTACTCTGCGGACACAATATTAGAGTAACTAGAAAAGATAGTAAGACTCTGGCTTGAAAATGGTTTATTAAATGTAGCTTTTCGTGACGGTTAAGTAACTTTATAACAAGGTCTTCACTACTCAGTTTAACTGTTTTTCTTTCAGGACAAACCAAAGTAACTATCAAGGTTACATATATTAGGATAGTATTCTCCCTATACCTCAGGTTACAAATGAGCATTTCCTATCTTTGAATATATACAAATACATTAACTAAAGAAGTTTAAACAACTCAGTTTTTGGTACTCAACTGTCAGAAATCTCAGTCATTAAAACCTGAAATCTCTTACTAATCTAACACCCACTCACATCCTCTTCATAGACCTATTTAACTTTATTTTTAAAATGTTTCAAAGTGGTTCAGGTTTTATAAATTTTAACATCTAAATTATTTTTAAGTCAAACAACTGTACCTCAGTGTAGTTCTCTGGACAGATAAAATTAAGATAATATGAATTATATCTGATCATCCTTTCACAGAAAAAGGGTAGAAATGTTGGTTATCACCCTGCTTACAGAAACTAAGAAAAAAGCACTAGTTTACATAAGGAAAAGAATATAACCATACCACTCTAATGTTTTTTCACTCTCATTTTGAAAACTTCACTTTGGGGCACTAGCGTGTTACCAAGTAAGGAAGAACTCTTCCCCTCATTATTATACTCAACCTGTAAATGAATTTTTACTTCTCAGTAAGGTTCATCATTATAAAATGATATAGGTGAATTTCTATAAAATAATCCTTCCCCCCTTCTAGCTTAACTGTTTTTTTTTGGTCGCGCTGGTCTTCCCTGTAGCATGCGGGCTTGGCTGCCCCACTGCAGGTAGGATCTCAGTTCCTGACCAGAGATCAAACCCGAGTCCCGTGCTCTGGAAGGTGGAATCTCAGCCACTGGACCACCAGGCAAGTCCCTCTAGCGTAATCCTTTGTAAAAAATAATTTTATTGACTTATTTTTGGCTGTGCCGGGTCTTGCTTGCTGTGTGGGCTTTGCTCTAGTTGTGGCGAGCGGGGGCTTCTCTCTAGGTGCGATATGCAGGCTGCTCATTATGGTGGCTTCTCTTATGGAGCACAGGCTCAACAGCTGTGGCACACGGGCTGAGTTGCTCTGTGGCGTGTGGGATATTCCTGGATCAGGGATCGAACCTGTGTCTCATGCATTGACTGGTGCATTCTTTACCACTGAGCCACCAGGGAAACCCCTAGCTTAACTCTTGATCATTCTAGAGGCAATACTTCCTCAGAGAAGTCTTCCCCATTTCTGCAGATGAGGTAGGGTCCTTTTACCATATGTTTCCACTGTCCTCAGTACATCTTCCTTTGCAGCAATCAGGACATTAGTAATTACTTCTTCAAAATCTTGCATCTTCCCCACTAGATTTAATATCCACAAGGGCAGGGGCTATCTTAGCATGTGGCGTGTGGGATATTCCTGGATCAGGGATCGAACCTGTGTCTCATGCATTGACTGGTGCATTCTTTACCACTGAGCCACCAGGGAAACCCCTAGCTTAACTCTTGATCATTCTAGAGGCAATACTTCCTCAGAGAAGTCTTCCCCATTTCTGCAGATGAGGTAGGGTCCTTTCACCATATGTTTCCACTGTCCTCAGTACATCTTCCTTTGCAGCAATCAGGACATTAGTAATTACTTCTTCAAAATCTTGCATCTTCCCCACTAGATTTAATATCCACAAGGGCAGGGGCTATCTTAGCGTGCTGCTGCTGCTGCTAAGTCACTTCAGTCCTGTCCAATTCTTCGCAACCCCATGAACTGCAGCCTACCAGGCTCCTCCGTCCATGGGATTTTCCAGGCAAGAGTACTGGAGTGGGGTGCCATTGCCTTCTCCATATCTTAGCCTCGTTCACTCTAATTGTTTATTACCTTCAAAATTTTTGCCATAATGACACACAAACTATTTTTTTCCTTAAATCAACTTTTAATATTTAAATATACATAATACACAAAATCAAGGCCTTGCTAAGCTGGTTAAAGGGCTTCCCAGGAGGCGCTAGTGGTAAAGAACCCAACTGTCAATGCAGGAGATATAAGAGATGTGGACTCAATCCGTGGAGGAGGGAAGATCTCCTGGAGGAGGGCATGGCAACCCACTCCAGTATTCTCGCCTGGAGAAAGCCACAGACAGAGGAGCCTGGTGGGCAACAGTTCATAGGGTTACACAGAGTTCAACACGACTGAAGCGACTTAGCACTCATGCAGGTTATAAATTTTCTAATCCATGTTAAAATAAATGCATGAGTATTCAAGTTCAAAGAAAAGTCCATTCACCTCCTAAAATGATTTGAGTCTTGCAGTGGAATGTGAGATCCACTTTACTAATCTGTGCTAATGTAATCCCATCAGGGGCATTAATAATTAACAAACAGAATCTTTTCAGTAAATGGCGGGGCTGACAGTGGGGATCACAAAGACTTACCTTGCTTTTGGCTTCCATGCGTAAAACACGACTAGTCTTTGTTATTGGGTCTTCATGCCCAGTTTCCTCAAATAGTTTGCCTTCTGCAAACTTATATGTATAGTATTTCGGGGGACGTATTGGAGAGCAAAGCTGAAAGGGGCAGTTCTTTGGGTCTGAATTTGTATCTATTATGAATCCACAGGCCCAAGGCGGGAGCTAAAGAAATAGAACAGTTAGCTGTACTCTTTATTGAGACACTAAGTATTATTAATTAAATTTCTGGGTATGCTCCAAACAAGATGATGTAGATATCAAGTTTATTTTTATCCACTTTCATCTAATGCCTCATTTAAGGATTACTTCAGTACAACAAAAAAAATATTTCAAGTGAAAAACGAAACAACACTAGTGACCAATAAAAGTAAGAAAAAAGTACAGGAAAATGGTTTATCATGATTCTAGATTGACTTGAAATGTCCTTTAATAATAAAAGTTTATCTGGGGATATATAAACTTGGGCAATGAAACAACAAAAAGATTAACAGCTAATCAAGTAGGAATTCCAGAACCCAAAGATATCCTCGAGATCTCTCTTCTCATAGAACATGAGATCTCTCACTTGTGGTTTTAATAATTTACCCAGCAGCCCTTCTCTACTGCCTGGACAGCCCCAGGGATGACAGTCATTATTCCAGGACTACAAACTAGCTCAGCAGCACTAAAGCATTTACAATTTGTTTTTAACTTTAGCTCCCAGGCTAACCATTGTGCAGAACAAAACCTTTCCCGCACACCTACTCTGAGAGACTCACTGCTATTATGATTAAGATTGTTAACTTTAAGAAAAAAGGAAAAGAAATCAAAATTTATTCTCTCAGAGCAGCAGGGTCCAGCCTCAAGCCTTCCACTAACATCCCTCTTACACCTTTTAAAAGAACTCTAGTAAGCAGGCTGACGGTACGTTAGAAATGGTACCGAGAGTCAGAATATTTCAAAGAAAATTGCCTTTCTTTTCCTGAGTAATTGTAGAAAGAGCAAATTCCTTAGAAAATCAGAGGTCTTGGCACAGCAACGTCACTGGTGGGCACTATTCAGACAGGATAAATGGGGGATGTACGCATAAAGAGTGTACCACTTAACCTGTAGAAACTATGGTTAAAGAGCTTAGGTTCACAGAGAAAATTTCTTGTAATTAATCCAAAGAATCCACTGCTGTAAAGTACTAGAGACATATATTTGCATTGTCTTTCTAGAAGAGTTCCTAATTTATTTGCTTCAGACTGTGGATTATTTTCAAGGATAATTTGTTTATTTAAATATTATTTATCTATAATGTATACAACCATAACTAGAAAGAAAAATGTAATCATGAGAGTTAAAAATCATTTTTGTTTTAGAACATTTATATAGCTTTTTAAGACACCAGACATTACATTTGATAATTTGACTTCATGAAGTAGATGGAAAATTCTGGCTGTTTTATTTAGGTCCTCATTCTTTCTTATTTATGCCACTAGATGTTGTTTAGTAGCTCAGTCATGTCCGACTCTTTGTGACCTCATGGACTGCCACACACCAGGCTTCCCTGTCCTTCACCATCTACCGGAGCTTGCTCAAACTCATGTCTATTGAGTCAGTGATGCCATCCAATCATCTCATCTTCTGTGGTCCCCTTCTCCTCCTGCCTTCAATCTTTCCCAGCATCAAATTATTTTCCAGTGAGTCAGTTCTTCGTATCAGGTGGCCAAAGTATTGGAGCTTCAGCTTCAGCATCAGTCCCTCCAATGAATATTCAGGATTGATTTCCTTTAGGATGGACTGGTAGGATCTCCTTGCAGTCCAACAGACTCTCAAGAATCTTCTCCAAAACCACAGTTCAAAAGCATCAATTTTTCTGCACTCAGCCTTCTTTATGGTCCAACTCTCACATCCATACATGATTAGGAGCAAGTGTCTTTTAATTTCATGGCTGCAGCCACCATCCACAGTGATTTTGGAGCCCAAGAAAATAAAGTCTCTCACTGTTTCCATTGTTTCCCCATCTATTTGCCATGAAGTGATGGGACCGGATGCCATGATCTTCTTTTTTTTGAATGTTGAGTTTTAAGCCAGCTTTTTCACTCTCCTCTTTCACCTTCATTGAGAGGCTCTTTAGTTCTTCTTCGCTTTCTGCCATAAAGGTGGTGTCATTTGCATATCTGAGGTTATTGATATTTCTCCCGGCAACCTTGATTCCAGCTTGTGTTTCATTCAGCCTGGCATTTCACATGATGTACTATCAAATTAGTTAAATAAGCAGGGTGACAATATACAGCTTTGATGTATTTCTTTCCTAATTCAGGACTAGTCTGTTGTTCCATGTCTGGTTCTAACAGTTGCTTCTTGACCTGCATACAGGTTTCTCAGGAGGCAGATAAGGTGGTCTGGTATTCCCATCTCTTTAAGAATTTTCCACAGTTTGTTGTGATCCACACAGTCAAAGGCTTTAGCATAGTCAATGAAGCAGATGTTTTTCTGGAATTTCCTTGCCTTTTCTATGATCCATCGGATGTTGGTAATTTGATCTCTGGTTCCTCTGCCTTTTCTGAATCCAATTTGAACATCTGGAAGTTCTCAGTTCACATACTGTTGAAATCTAGCTTGGAGATTTTGATCATTACTTCACTAGCATGTGAAATGAATGCAATTGTGTGGTAGTTTGAACATTCTTTGGCATTGCCCTTCTTTGGGAGTGACCTTTTCCAGTCCTGTGTCCCCTGCTGAGTTTTCCAAAATTGCTGGCATATTGAGTGCAGCACTTCACCAGCATCATCTTTTAGGATTTGAAATAGCTCAGCAGGAATTCCATCACCTCCACTAGATTTGTTCGTAGTGATACCTCCTAAGGCCCACTTTACTTCACACTCCAGGATGTCTGGCTCTAGGTGAGTGATCACAGCATCGTGGTTATCTGGGTCATGAAGATCTTTCTTGTATAGTTCTTCTGTATATTCTTGCCACTTTGTCTTAGTATCTTCTGCTTCTGTTAGGGCCATACTGTTTCTGTCCTATATTGTGCCCATTTTTGCATGAAAATGTTTCCTTGGTATCTCTAATTTTCTTGAAGAGATCTCTAGCCTAGATCTCTATGCCACTATAACAGTCTCAAAACTAACCTACATACCCCTCATCTCTTGGTGCTTCTGTGTACTCTAACGTGGCTGCCAGACAACCTTGTGAAGTGTAGTATGCCTCCTCAAATTATTCTCCTGCCTTCAAACTTCAAATTTTCCCCTCTTCATAATTTACGCATAAATTCATCATGTTGACAGTCAAAGAATGCCAAATCATAGCTTCATCCCCTAGTAATTTGTTCTGCTTCAATAAAAGGGATTTATTAGCAGTTTCCTGAATATTTTCCTAAGTTCTCCAGCTTAGAGCTTCATTTGATGGACTTTCTCATCCTAGAATACTATTCCTTTCCCTACCCAACAAAACCCTATCTATCTTCTTTGGTTATCTCAAATTCTACTACCCCCTAAAGTTTTTTTGGGCCCTCCGGGCCTCATGGCACATTTTATGTTTTTAATCCCACTTATTTAAACCCATCCTATACTTAATCTTTGTGTACAAGTCTAATCTCATGATAAATGGTATTCTCCTAAGGCCAGGTATTTTGAGTTACTATCTTTCCATTCCAGAGAGCCCAATACAGAGCTCTGCACATAGAAATTTAATAAACATCCAGTGAATTTACTGGAATTGCATTTTAGCAAAAATTGTCATAACACTATAGATAGGGAGGTACAAATGGCCTGTCTGCTGGTCATACAACTCCTTCCACATCAAGCGAAACAGAGGCCTCTCTTCCCTTCAGTGCATGTTACCTTAACTCACTTATTATGCTGCTGTAAAACTGGGCAATGATGTTACCATTCACAGTTCTATAAAATTGGCAAAGAGATGATACAGACACAAACAAGTGTGGCAGAAACACTGTAGTAGAAACACGGGAGGCATGCCTACTGTCTGGGATGGGAGGAGGAGGTAGTGGTTAGGCTCCAGCTGCCAAGCTGGCCTGAGTTATGACTATATCTGAGGTTGTAGAGACACATGATACAGAGATATGTAGAAAGAGAAACACATGGCACTTAACTCTACTTCTGAAGTCCATCCTATACAGCGGTATTTTTCAGTGCACTAAAAGCAAAGACTTCTAAAAGTAATTCTAAAATAAACCTCCTAAACCTGATGAAGACCCACTATACTAAATTCTATTTAAATTAATTTCTAAGAAAAAGTACATTGCTATTATTCAAAATTTGATGTTCTGTTAATACTGCATGTATGCTGATTAACAGTATTATCTTTCGAAAATTAAACATACCTTTAGAGACCGAACTGAATCGTCAGCCAGACCAATCACATTAACATAAAGCAAATTGCTATGCTTCAGGAAGAGAACACAATGATCCTTAAACATGTCCAAATCTACAACTTTGGTATTTCTCTTCATCGTGAAAAACAAATCCCAATTCATAATAGCAGGGGTATCGGCTGCTGTTCTCATTAGCTGTGTGGAACAAAATTAGAAGGTGGGTCCCAAGGGCTCAGGCCATCTATCAACCACACCTCAGAAGTGGTCTTGCTCATGATATTCATGGTGAGAAAACGACTGTCTTTTGTAAGATAAAGGAAGACAAAAAAACTATGCAGAAAAAAGAGGGGGGGGGAGAGAGAGGAAAATCCAATGAATTTCAAATGTAAGCTACTATTGCTAATGACAATTTCTCACTGGTATTGAGTATATATATTAATTTCTAATGCACACAGAAAAGAAAAACTCCTTAGTGAAATGCTGCTTGTAAAAACTGGCTATTATTTTTTCTCAATTTCTCCTCAGAGGCATTCAAAATAATTTTTCTCTAACATTTTATTATGAATATTTTTCAAAACCCACCACTAAGATTCTATAACTGCTAACATTTTGCTGTATTTCCTTGATCACATATTTATATATCTTTCAATCCATCTTTTTTAAAAAATGCATTTCAAGGTAAACTACAGATATCATTTAACACTCAATCACACTAATAGATTACAGGAATTTTTGCTGAGAAGAGGAAATAAACTTCTTGGAGAAGATATGTAATTGTAGGGAAGAAAAGAGACAGAGTTTTCTTTGTTTTTCCTCTGAATGCATGTTGGATATCCTTTTTTCCTACTCTCCCAGTTTTTACAACAAAACAAACAACAGGAAGAAAAACCCTCACAATCTCATTAAACTAACACATTTTAAAAATTTTAGTTTTTCTATTTTTCCTTCCAGGGCTTATTTGTATTTTATACATCTTTAAATAGATGTAATTAAAATACAGATGCAATTCTGGATTCTGCATTTCTTACTACACATATTATCATCTTTCCCCACATTAGTTATACAGTTTATGATCAGTATTTTTAATGGCTTCCTAATATACTATTAAGTTGAATTATCATAATACTTAAAAACTTAGCTATTTCATTGTAATAAATATAAAAGGGAACATATCATGAAGATAGTTTCCTTCTCCATAACTTTTATAATTATTTCCTTAGGATAAATTCCCAGTAATAGAAATACTATTTTAATGATTAAGAGTATTTTTATGACTCGATAAATCAAAGACTATCCCAAGAGCATTATACTAATTCATATCGACACACTGGATGCCTTTAAATATTGCGTCTACATTTCCTGATTATGAAAGTAATTCACACTGAAAATACTGAGAAATATAAAGATAGATGGTAAGTTTTAGTTGCAAGACAGAAAATAGTCTATAGTCCTAAGTCATGGTATAATGTAATAAATTACTAGCTTAAACTGTCATTTCCAAAAGACAATCTTGACATATGACACATAAAATAGTGGGATCATAGGAATAGTTCTAATAAATTCTCATTAATAGAATCCTCATCAGAAAAAAATGCAATGACAGTGTTACTGGATCAAGAATGTTAGTTCTATGGGCTGGAATAATTTCTCCAGACCTTAAGTTCTTTATATGAACTTGGGGTTGTACAATATTTTCTTTAAGGTCCTTGTCAGGTCTGAGATTTTATTAAGTGAAGGGTTAATTTTCTTGTTTGGGGTATCAATTTTACACTCACAGATTGGTTTTTAAAGCTCACTTTTTTTTCTCTTGCAAAATCTGTTCAGACATTGTCCAAATCATACTGTTAAATGATGTATAAGGTGACAGGACCCTGGTGTTAAGAAATAGTTTCTTATAAATCATTTGGAAAAGTACATCTGGCTAAGAGTTACGGAACTTTGCCAGATAAATTTAGCATCATTTCCTCTCCAGCCTGGTTGAGTGGTAATATGAGGCATAAGTCCTGAAGCAAAAAGAATTAGCTTTAAGGAGGAATTACCAGATTACTGGGGAAAGTAAAATTTAAAGACCAAAGTATATCATGGTTCAAAGCAAAGCAATTTATATTTTAGATAATCTATATGAAATAGTGAATTCTGTGTAACTGATATGGTTAATCTAGTTATGACCTACAAGAGATTCATAGTGCTGCATGACAATGCTATTTAAATGTTAAATTAAGAACTCTTCTCATGTCAGTACAGAGAGGATGTTAGTAATACAGCACCTACAGTCTAATGCTATATCTGTGTTCACTCTGAAGTCTAAATACAACTAGTTTCCAATTTTGAATCTAAATCACTTATAAAAGAATGCTGTGCTCACCTTAGCCTTATTACATCTGATTCCAGCCAAAATCAATGTTTTAAGTCAACCAAGAGCAGCACTTTAGATAACCAGAGAAATATGCTGAAGATAAAGACTTAATTGAATTGTTCTAGTACCTTGGGTCTTTTTCTGTGTAAAAACGTTCATTACGTTTGTTATCACCAAAAGTGGCTCGATATACATCATGACAGCGAAGGTTCCTCTGGAAGGTGTAGAATAAAACATCTTTGTCTTCTTCATCCTTTACCCATTCTAAACGAAAACAATTAAAGAATTATATATAGCCACCTATTTACAGTTAAAAAAAAAAAAGGCACAGTGCATTCTGAGTGTCAAACAGAAGAGATGTGTAAGTTTATCTCTGGCAATCTAAATCTACCACAGGTTTGATTATACCTAACCCTGTTATTTCCAAAGAATAAGATACTACTACTTCAATTCTAAGTTTTTGTAGTTATCTGTTTCAAGGTATTCAACTTTCTAAATAAGAGTTGAACATTCAATATTTAGGGAAGACTTTGGTAAAGTCACATCTGCTTTCAGCAGATCGATTATGTTTAAATTTCATGCTCTTGTGCTTAGACGCTTGGTCATGTCTGACTCTTTGTAACCCCATGGACTACAGCCCACCAGGCTCCTCTGTCCATGGGATTCTCCAGGCAAGAATACTGGAGTGGGTTTTCCTGTCCTCCTCCAGGGGATCTTCCCAACCCAGGGATCAAACCCAGGTCTCTCACATGGTAGATGGTTTCTTTACCATCTGAGACACCTAGGAAGCCCATATTTAAGTTTGCAGGAATACTGGATCACTTCCTCTCATGCCTCAATGTTTTTGTATGTTTTCAAGTGACAGTTTATCTCAAACTAAGCTTTAAAAAAAAACTAATTTTTTAATTGGTAGAAAATTGCTTTATAATTTTGTGTTGGTTTCTGCTGTACAACAACATGAATCAGTCACATGCTGATGTTTCCTAGATCCTACCAAAAGCTGTAAATTAAAGTATTCATACAATTACATCATGACTGCCACCTGGCTGACAGTGACTAAAAGACATCATTGTATAATATGCATTCTGATTTTAGAGGTTAAAATGTACAAGAGGTATGTCTTAGAAAAAATTTGATAGGATATAATTTTAATTCATTGTAAAAGCATTCCTTTATTAAACAATGGGGAAATTTATGGCAGAAAATGAAAGGGAGGATAAAGTATGTGTAAGACACACACACACACACACACACACACACACACACATAATCACTCAATGATAAATGATAAAATTTAAAGTTGGTTTTATTGGTAAAAATATCATAACTTTACTGATGAATAAGTTAGTTCAGGGAATTCCCTGGTCATTCAGTGATTAGGACTCAGTGCTTTCACTGCCAGGGAGTGGTTCAATCCCTAGTCAGGGAACTAAGATCTTGCAAGCTGTGTGGTCAAAAACACAAACAAAAAGTTAATTCATCTTGTTCCAGAGTTCCTTGGTAGGGACCCCAGGGCAATCTGCTACAATGGCTGGACAAGATGATGTGAAATTTAAAAAATCATACCCCAGCCTAAAGTTGAATAAAATATTAAGATGTAATTTATATGCAAACATGTACTCTAAGTAATAGCAAAGAATATTATTACTGATACATAACTAATAAGGAGCCTGGTGGGCTATGGTCTACAGGGTTGCAAAGAGTCGGACATGACTCTTTAGCAGGCATGCACTGATATATATTACTGATACATTAACATACACTGTGCAACCTAGACTCTGATTATAATACTTTTAAAAACATGGACATGAATTTGGATGTTTAATTAAAGAAAGGAAGGTCTCTTAGTTAAGAGGCACAGAGGAAAGTATGGAGTCCACAGGGATAAACAGATCAGGCATTCATCTTCTGATTCATTCATGTGGGCAAATAAAAATGTTTCAAAAGTGTAGACAATTCTCTTGCTGTTGTCTTTTCAACGTTTTAGTTGGTGTCTTACCAAAACTAGACACATTTGGGAAAGAAGCTTCCATTACAGGCTGGTCACTGAGCTTCACAACTATACAAGTAGATGCTTCAGAATCCTCAGTTCTTATCTTGGCAGCTACATATTTTTCATCAGGAGCAACTCTGATACAGTCAATGAAGGGCTGCTCTAATTTAAGTTCCTCCAAATTGAACAAAACTTCATAGTTATCATTGTCTGCTGCATAAAGAAAAAAGTAGAGGAGATAATTCCATAAGATATACTTACAATCTTTTTAAAAGTATATTTCAGTGTTTTAGAGTAGCATCCCCCTTCTGGAAGATGCTACATTTTGGCTTCCTTCAGCATTGACAGTAGCTTGATGTGTGTAGAAAATTGCATTTGTTATTTAATATTACAATATCCTATTCAGTATTATTCTATACATCAGCCTATGTGATGTTACTTGATACAGTTAGTCTAATATTTATAGACCATATAGAACCTAGAAAAGTAAGAAACTATAAGTGACACTAAGTAATCTATGTTGTGCCTAGCATAGTAACTGGGATTTGGTAGATGCTCAAAAAATGCTGGTTCTCACCTCTATTCCCTCTGCCTAAGCTTCTGAGTGTAAGTATTAATTCTAGCTTAGGCAAACTCAGCTATTAAAAGCTAGTCATTTAAAATAAGGATAAAAATCAATAATCAAAACCTATTTTTTTATGCCTTTGAAAATCAATACCAGCCTTTCAGGCAGCATGTCCAGGGGGTGAGTAGGTACCAATCACTGGCCCTTCTGTCCTGGGAGTACACACAGACCGCCGCACCAGCACACCCCATATCAAGGGGATAATGGCCACATATGTTGAGGACAGAGGCAGCAAGCATACAAACTAAAAGCAGCCCTCAACTTCCTACAAGGTGGAGTAGGAGAAGGACTTGAGTTCACTTCCTCTCATGAAAACACCAAAATCACAACTAACTGTTGAACAACCACTGACCAAAAAGACTGGAACCTATCAAAAAAACATACTTTACACCCAGACAAAGAAGAAGCTACAATGAGACAGTCGGGGGTGGGGGTGGGGGAACGCTTTCATGATATAATCAAATCCCACCCATTGGGTGGGCAAGCCACAAACTGGAAAAATAATTATATCACAAAGGCTCTCCCACAGGAGTGAGAGTTCCGAGTCCCATGGCAGGCTCCCCAGCCTGAGGGTTTGGCGTTGGAAGGAACCTCCAGAGCATTTGGCTTTGAAGGTCAGTGGGGGCCTGAACAAACAATAAATGCTGGAAGGTGTGTAGAGAAAAAGGAACCCTCCTACACTGTTCATGGGAATGTAAATTGGTACAACCTCTACAGAGAACAGTATGGAGCGTCCTTAAAAAACAAAAAACGGAACTACCATATGATCCAGCAATCCCCTTGGGCATATATCCAGAGAAAACTATAATTCAAAAAGATACATGAACCCCAGTGTTCACTGCAGCGCTCTTTATAATAGCCAAGACTTGAAGCAACCTAAATGGCCAGTGACAGAGGAATGGATAAAGATGTACAGATACAGATCACAATGGAATATTACTCGGCCATCAAAAAGAATGACACAATGCCATTTGCAGCAACACGGATGAACCTAGAGACTGTCATACTAAGTAAGTCAGAGGGAGAAAGACAAATTTCATATGATATCACTTAGCATGTGGAATCTAAAAAAAATGATACAAAGAAACTTATTTGCAAAAGGTAAACACACTCACAGACTTGGAAAACAAACTTACCATACCAAAGGGGAAATGTAGGAAGGGGGGATAAATTAGGAGTTTGGGATTAACATATATACACTACTATATATAAAACAGAGAATCAACAAGGACCTAATGTATAGCACAGGGAACTCTACTCAATATGTTGTAATAACCTATATGGGAAAAGAACCTGAAGAATGGATATATATATGTGTGTAACTGAATCACTTTACAGTACATATGAGACTAATAACTGTAAATCAACTATACTGCAACAGAAAATACAAATTAAAAAAATCAATACCAAATTTCTCATGAAAAATGTGAAATCGGAAAAATCAAATGTTTCTTAAAAAGGAAAACTGTACGGTACCTTCTTCATCTTTAGAACGAACCAAGCAGCAGCCCTCTTGATAATAAACGAAACCACCATGTTTAATCTGACAATGTAAAGAAGCAAATGGTTTATTTAATAATAACAATAATTTATCCACTAGTTTAAACACAATTTAATTAATCGTTTAATGGTCTGACTATTCAAGATGAAGAAATGAGACCTTTTATAAAGGCAGACCTGTTGAAGTCTATGAATGAACATAGAAAAAATATTAAGTGGATACAAATATACAATATAGTGATCAAGATATGGTTTTCATATGTTTACAGTCATTGGAGGCATTTCTAATACATAAATGAAAGAAACAACAAAGAGAAAACAAAACAAAACCTATGTCAGTTCTCATGAATGTATGAACCACGTTAGCTTCATTTTTGGAACTTCTGACAATTAACAGAGATCAACTGGCATCATTAAGATAAACCAAAATTATGCAGATGCAAAAACCATGACTTAAGACTAGCCTGAAAACCCAGTCAATACCTTTCTGAGATTCTTTCCTCTAAAATATGCTGTCATTGCCAACTGTTCACGGTTTGATCTTATTTTACACAAAGCATCTTACCCTCTGTAGAGGTGACAGATAAAGGCAATTTGAGAGACAGAAAGACCATTACCAATACGTGAATCATGCTCTTGTCTAATTCCTACATATTAAATGCAAGTGATTGACTGATATGATATTAGGTAGCTTAAGACATTTACTACCTGCTAGTTAATGGTGTGATTTGAATCTGGAATTCCTGATTCTTTGTTGTTCAGCTGCTAAGTCATGTCAGGTTCTCTGTGGCTCCATGGACTATATTGCTATTTTCATTCTACTATGTATGCAATTTTCACTCATAAGTTGTGGTTCTGTTTTCCATTCTTATCAAAAAGTTTTTCAAAAAAAAAATTTCAATGTGTATGTTAGTTTCAACCAAGTATTTATGAGTGTGGTAAACACAAAATGGCCAAGCAAATACTTGGCTTTCATGGTATTAAACTGTTCAAAGTGAATTTTCTTTTAATTAAAAAAAAGTATAGCTAGAACAATCAAATACTTTTCAAATAATGAAGCACTGACTTAGTTTCACTTGAACTTCTCACTGGTATTATTTTAAAGCATTTAGAAGCAGAATTGGTTGTTTCCAAAAACCAAAATTAATATAATACGCTTGGAAATTCATCTTGGCTTTGATCTTTACAATTTATTTAAAAGATCATACTTAGCTTATTCTTTGTTCTTTAAGTTTTTCAGCATATATTAAAGGCCAAAATCAGTCTAATTTGGATGTGGGCTTGTTTATAAATCATAAAAATTATAAATCATAAGGTATTGATTTAAAAAAATATAAGGTATTTCATTTGTATCCCAACTGGTAATACAAGGTTTAAAAAAATAGAGATAAGATATCTTACCTCTGCATTGATGATTTCATATTCTTCTTGTGGCTGTGTTTCTAATTTTGCTCTCACTTTTTCAAACGCATCCATGTTTTCTGAAAGGGGTTTTTCGTTTTCCTGTTTACTAGACAGAAAATTCTGGAAAAAAGTTTTATCAGTATGATCATAATATTTCAATTAGGAAAAAAAAACTTTCACCTTTTAAAGATAATTCTTATTTCCTTCTCATGCAAATACTATAACATTAGGTGTATACCTATGAAATAAACTGCATTTCACAGATGTTAAGTATTGTTTCATAAGTTTAATAAGTCATTTCCTCTTTTTCATTTAAAAATGTAAAGAAAGAAAATGAGGTTGATAGTTAATGACTACAGAAGGAAATGGCAACCTACTCCAGTATTCGTGCCTGGGAAATTCCACAGACAAGAGCCTGGCTGGCTACAGTTCATGGGATCGCAGAGAGTTGGACACGACTGAGCGCACATGCACACATGAATTTAAATGCGTAAGTCCTTGAGAGGCAGAGATACTAAGAAGTGCTGAGGAGTGTTCAGAAATACTATGGGAAAGCAATAAATGAAATCCTGTGAACACTTAAACATATTTAATAGCCAGGTGTGAGAAGGAGAAGTCTGCTGAATTTTATAAAGTACTAAAATACCTCCTAAAATGAGAAAAATGTCAAAGGCAGAGGAAGACATTAACATTATCAATAAATGTTCATTATTATTTTATTCACAGCAAGAGTCACGATAAGAAGTTTTGGTTACTTTCTATCTTCATTGGCCATAATTTTCTTCTCTTGTGGGGATAAGGAATCCTCCAAATAGAAGTGTTTATCAGATCAAATGGTGAATTAAGGCTTTATAAAACAGAACTTCTCATTTGAGATAAGGAGTAATATATTCATCTTAAAAAAGGAAGAATAAGGAAAAATAATGGAAAATTAGTGAGAAGAGAGAAAACTAAATAAAGGTGAAAACTAAATAAAACACTCCATGTCTTATTGCTGCTGCTGCTGCTGCTGCTGCTAGGACGCTTCAGTCGTGTCCGACTCTGTGCAAACCCATAACGGCAGCCCACCAGGCCCCCCTGTCCCTGAGATTCTCAAGTCAAGTCTGACTCCTAGCGACCCCATAACGCAGCCCACCAGGCTCCTCCATCCATGGGATTTTCCAGGCAAGAGTACTGGAGTGGGCTGCCATTGCCATGTCTTATTAGGAGTCCCGAATAAGCTAAAAACTTAAGTTGATATCTGCTGAGCACATAAATACCATATGAATTATTAACATTTGGGTAAGGCAAAAATCTCATTTCTCAAATTAAAAAAAGGGTTCAATAATTCAATACACCATGAGTTTGCCTTGCTTAAGGAAAAGAATTCTAGTCAAGATTTTCAATCACCTTTCTGCCAAAGATGACAACTGTACAGTGATTTGTGCCAGAGGCACTAAGCCTTTGGTAAGGACCTCCAACAGCTGGTTAATATGTATTGCACAAGTGTGTCCATGATACTTTACCAACAGTGTAGAGAATGTAACTGATATAGTCTATATCACAATGAGTTTATAATCTAAAATTAAACACAAGAATAAAATAGAAAAATCACCAAAGCAAATTAAATGGAAAATTAATCATTTTCACAAAGTTTTAAGACTTTTTGGGATGCTTTATCATTTGGATTAGATTCACATTAGCTATAATAGTCATTACACTAGTCATTTACTCTCTACTTCAATAATAAACTTAATGTGCTTGAGTAACAAGTGCAAATACTAGAGGCTTGTATGTTTACTTTCTTTTTTTTTTTTAAAGTATCTCTACAAAATCTAGTGTTGATCTTTAGTGAGGCAAAATATCTATACCAATAATTTCCTATTATCACCTAAAGCACGAAACAGATCACTAGAAATCTATCTTGAAACCATAACTTAGTGATAGGAGCTGACTTTTTATTTCCAGACATATGCTATCTGTTCCGTTAATTCCTATTAGAGTCAGGAGAGCCACAAAGAGGGCACCTCTCTCTTTGCAGCCTCCAGCACATTACAAACCAGGAGCTGGGCTCTGCCACTTTCAACGCTGCTTCTTTCTTATTGAGAGCCGAGGCTAATGCGGGACTAAAGGCAGCAGGGCTGGCCCAATACCTATCCTGCTACACTTATCTTACAGTCTTAATTTTTTTTCTGTGTCACAAATCCAAATAAACTGAGTTTATCTGAACCAAAATAACTCTGAAATCAACAGGATTTTGAACTACCTTAATAAAGTAGAAGTAGAGTTCAAGTGTTTTGTAAATGATTCCTCAAAAGGAAATACTCCCAGGGAAACTGAGATTTTCTATAGTACTCACAAAATACTCCAGGTTGGTTTTGGTTTAAGTTCTGTCTCAACAATACTCACTGGATGTTCCAAGCTAGCATTATCATTAGGGTATGCAGCTAAACCTATCGATTTTAGCCAAGTATCTTAATACATTAATAGTTCATTGGTTTTAAGGGTATAAACTGCCTAATGGAGCTGAGATGAGGAGAGCTTTAACTTTAAATTTGAAGAGCTTACATGCACAGTGTCACTTTATTAATGGAAAAAAGAACCAGTCTCCCTCATCTTCTGGGTGGCCTACTACAAAACCATTTTAATAATGTAAACTCTTAAGATAGAAAAAGAGAATATGTAAACTTTATTAGAGCAACATCATTGAACTCTAAAGACAGAAAATCACACAACAGAAGAACACTGGGCAGCTTTGAGTAAAGATGGTGCCATTAATAAATGGCTAATTCCAAGTCTGGGACAGGGAGAGTAAAAAGTAGGCTTAGGACATTTTGTGTTAGAAAGCAAGAAGTGTTCAAAGGTTTATGGAGATCTGTGAAAAGAACACAAGGGCCAGTTTGAGGGGGTTCCTAGTAGCCACATTTAGGGCAATTTGAGCATCCAAAATAATAATGACTGTAATTGATTACTTTAAACTAAAAACTCATAATAATTTAAAAAGAAATAAAAAAACAAAACACACACCAAACTAAAATAAAAAAATTAAAAGACTACAAAAAAAGGGGAAAACTTTTTTTACAGAATACTAGCTAATAAATATAGAAAGAATCACAGAAATAGAAAAATATTAGCAACCCCCACTGAAAGAAGTGATTAGGGTAAAGATCATCATCCATGGTTATTAAACTCATTAGGTGAAATGATATTGGGTAATAAAATATTTGCACAAAGTATTACCCTACATTCTACTTAGTAATTGCAAAGGGAATAAATGGCCCCTTAACAATGGAGAGAACTAGCAATTATCACCTTTATTGAAATTATTAAGCTTAGCATATGAACAGTGGGACAAGCTGACATTATGAGTCCCCTGAAATAACTCAATATGGATAATTTCAATTTAAGACAGAAAAAGAGAAAAGTAAACCTAAAGTAAGTAGAAGAAAGGAAATAAATTTAATTTGTTTCAATGAAATTGATAAAGAAACTAAAGAAAGGACCAACAAAACAGAAAAAGTTGGTTCTTTTAAAAATGTAATAAGAAAAAAAAAAAAAATGTAATAAGAAAGATTGGAGGCCTGGACAGGGAGGCCGAGGAGAAAGAGGCCTGGAGTGCTGCAGTCCAAGGGGTCGCAAAGAGTCAGACACAACTTAGCGACTAAACAAGAAGAAAGACATGTATAAAACTTGACTTAAAAAGACAAAAATATTAGAAATGAAAAAGATGGCATAATTACAGATATAACAAAGATTTTTAAAAATTACAATAAAGTTCTTTTTGCTAATACATTTGAAAATATGATAAAATGGATAATTTTCCAGAAAATAAATTAGCAAAACTGATTCAAATGACAGAAGAGCTGTATAAGCCAATAACTATCAAAAAAATTGATAATTAAGTGTCCCTTTATAAAAGAGACACAAAACCCAGGTAAGTTCAAGGGTAGCTTTCTCAAATCCTCAAGAAACAGATCATCTCATATATTAACTATTTATGGGGAGAAAAGGCCAACTATATAAAACCATGCCATTAATTTCATCAGGCTAATATAACCCTGACACTAAAACAAGACAGTGACAATATCAGACAATTAAAAATCAATCTTACTATAAAATATGGATTGAAAAAACTAAAATAAAAGATCAATGTATTTTAAAAAAACACAAAACAAAAACAATAGTGATAATAAAATCCTATGTGACCAATGAAGATTTATCTTCAGAGTGAAAGGATGGTTCAACACTAGAAAAATCTATCAATGTAATCACAAAGAAAGGAAATATATCTTAGGCCCATTTCAAGTAATGCAGAAAAAAATAGAAAATAATCAATACACTTAAAAATCATAAAATTCTTAAACTTCCTTAAGAAACATCCCTGTGTTGTTTTAGGCAGAACCATACCAAGCATCAGTTCCTGGGGTCACAAACACTTTCACTTTCATACTAAGCATCTGTAAAAACTTTTGCAAGACTTGTCTATGTTCCCTGCTTCTAATTCCTCTGTTTGAACCCAGTAAGATTTTTGCCCTTCTCATTCCAGTGACTACTCTTGTCAAGGTCACTGATGGCCTTGAAGTACATCAAGAAGTACAAATGTTAATTCTAGGTGATCACAGTACTTGAGAGCTATCAGCATTGTGACTCAGTTGATCACTTCCATCTCCTAAAAACACTTCACTTCACATTGCTTGCCTTCTATTTCACTGGCCCGTCTCAGTCTCTTCAGCTAGTTCCTACTCAACTCCTTGGCTCTTAACATCAAAATGCACTGGACCACTTCTTTTATCTATAGTCTGCACTAGTTCCCTTGGTGATCTCATACAGTCTTATGATACTAAATAGTAAATGCTGTTTATTTTCTAGGAATCCTAAATTTATATTTCTAGCTTGATCCTTTTCCCTGAACAAATTTGTTATACCCAACTGACTACAATACTCATTATTTTCTACTTGGACTTCTAACAAGTATTAAAAAAAAATTGCCCATATCCAATGTCCCCATTTTCCCTCTCCCCACAAAAATCTTCTGTTCTTTAGGCAATTGTTCCTATCTTCATAAATGACAACTGTCTTTCCAGCTGCTCCTGCTTAAAAGTTTTAGTTTTCTTTGTCTTTCTCTCTAGCAACCACTGACT